AACCCCACAATTTCCCAGCCACAAAGGAAATATGGACTGCATAATTCAATGTCAACAAATTCGGGCTACCGGAACATACATGAGTTTCTTGTTAGTTGTTTAGTTGTATCTACAACATTCTACAGCCTTTTGTCTAGTTTTATTTGTTTTTACAACATGTCAGCCACATCTTGAATAATTTCGGTGCTGATAAAGATGCTGATATGAAACAGAAGGAATGATAATCACGATTTTGACAATTTTGATGACATGTTCCTATTATGTTGTGAATAATGCATATAGTGAATATTAAAACAACAAACCCGTTTTGTAATGTTATTCACAACCATGACACAAACAACAATATCCACTACTAACCATGGTTAAAACAATAAACCCTTGTTAGTGGTTGGTTGTGGTTTTGTTGTTGTTGTCGTTCCAGCACTGCTCCCAAGGTTCTGGAAGTTCCCTCTGAGCCTTCCAGATCCTGGAGATTGGCCAATCAGCGCACGGAAAACGGAAAAAACTGTATCTATATAAGTACGGTTAAGTTCAGATTTTCATGTACTGTGTACTCATCTATGTGTGTGTATATATGAGTATACCTACCTACCTTCCTACCTACCTATCTGTCTGTCTATCTGTCTATCTGTCTGTCTGTGTAGCTGTCTATCTGTCTGTCTGTCTGTCTGTCTATGTTTCTGTCTGTGTATCTGTCTATCTGTCCGTCTGTCTGTCTATCTGTCTGTCTGTCTGTCTGTCTATCTATCGATCGATCTATCTATCCATCTATCTATGAGTGTCTATGTATATATACGTATATAAACATAGAATATGATCATGTATGTATGTATGTATGTATGTATATATATATTATAATATGAATGATCTATACTTCGCAAGCATATGATATCCACAGGGCTTGTTTGCCGGGCTATGAAATCGATGGTTTCCACATGTTTCCACCATACGAGCCATCATTTTACTTTATTGGTGGCTATGGGCCATCTGCTTTCGATTTCCACACCATCGGGGGATTTCCCTTGCGGGAATCCAGTGGGATCACCGGGGCACGATGATTTGGATTACCACATCAGAAACGTTGGTATAGGTGAACCATTCGTGTATACATAAATCATCATAAATCGTCATTCCGGATGGCGTCAGCTAGTGAAAGGTCGCTATCATGTACCCAAATCCAACCAAATCCAAATCATATTGTGTAGAGATGCATCACAATTGCCACACGTCGATCTTCTTTTGTATCTTACAAGTAGTTCGCTTGACAGTTCGTATGTTGCCAACTTCCACCGCTTTGGAGCTGAAAAAATAATCCACACATGAGCTGGGGCATTCTTGGCACCAGCAGCTCCTCATCGTTACACTCGTTACACCCGTTACACCTCGCCTGCTCATCACCATAGCTGAAGGATTTCGGCCTCGAGGAAGGATCACCATAGCAAGCGGAAACTCGTGATATTTGGGATGCAAAATACAACATCTTGGAAACCAGAACATATAGATTATGTTCTTTTCCTTTCAAACGATGGAAAAGTGATGTGGAAAAGTGATGCGAATTCGAATGACTAATTCCCAAGAAATAGTTTGGAATTGATATTCCCAAGAATCCGAAGAATATGAATAAATCAATTGTGATCATCCCATTCCTTTTAGAGATGGAGAAATTAGAAGCAACCGTTTCATTCTGGCCACAACCGAACCATTTACAATTTGCAACTCGCGCTCCATTTACAGTAAAGCAAAAACCACTATTTTGTTGCTGCTGCTGATCCCTTTCTATGTTGGTTCAGGGTGAGATTCCTGTACAAGCTTATCAGAACCAGCAATTGAATTGGGTTAGACGACCCCTTACAGCCATGAAGTACCAGAGGGGTACACTCCGTACTGCTGGCCTTCAGCAGGGCCTTGCAAAATGACCTCAGCCACAGGGGTTCGCCATGTACCAACTGGGATACAAACTCAAACGAAGAGGATACAATAGGATACGGTAGTTGTGGCGTACCGAACATACCCCCACAATGAGCCATAGAATACCTATCCATTGTGTCTTGTATTACCAAGAAAAGGTGCTTGTGATCCTGTTGGCTTCATCAGTTAGGTGTCCAAATATTTCCTGATAGATGGCTTGTTCATGATTTACACCTCCCAACCAAGGCTAAGCTCTGTTGGTTTTTCTTCGCTGGTTGCCACCAAGTCGCATGATTCTGCACTTGGGGTGTCTGCGCCAGAAGTGCCTGCAAGACTTGGACTATGGGCAAGGCCATCACGCGGGATTCACAGGACAGATTCCAGCAAATTTTCTCATAATTCAAGCCAGGAAAATTGGAAGTCTCCCAGATAGATCAATATAGATCATATAACTCCTAGTGATTCGGCATGAATCCATAGATAAGGTGGCCCAGTGAGGTCATGTTTTTATCCAGGCACGTCCAGGAGAGCTGGATCTTCCCAGAGTGGTGCCAGCTATGTACAATTCTTATATCAAGATATGTATAAATAATATAAATAGATAAATACACATACAGCAGGACCATAATATATATATATATATACAGTACACACATATTATGGTGTATATGTATAAAAGTACAATCATGTCGATATTAATACGACACGCATGTTGTTATATTGTCGTTTCTTAGCACCCATTTCTCAAAATGGCCGTGCGGCGCCGGTACCTCGACACACTTCTCATCCAGGCCATTTTGCCCAGCAAATTCCTCCACGAGGCTAGAAGCCTCGCCTGAAAGTGATGTGGGATGCGACTGGCGGTGAGGATCATAAGAACCATCTGGCAGAACAAACCACCATGCGGTGGATATGGCAATGGTTGAGACACCCAAATAAATATGTGTATCAACTTCAGGGAAACACTCAGTTTCAAGGCGTTAATTCCGAATGGGATATGTTTTGAGAATATTCAGTGTCCAGATGTGTCCAGAATGACGGTGTACATGCATATCATATATATACACATACATAACACATGTATCTATCTATCAATCTATCAATCAATCTACCAATCAATCAATCTATCAATCTAAAAATCAATCAATCTATGAATCAATCAATCAATCTATCAATCTATAAATCAATCAATCTATGAATCAATCAATCAATCTATCTATCTATCAATCAATCTATGAGTCAATCTATGACTCAATCTATGAGTCAATCTATGAGTCAATCTATGAGTCAATCTATGAGTCAATCTATGAGTCAATCTATGAGTCAATCTATGAGTCAATCTATGAGTCAATCTATGAGTCTATCTATGAGTCTATCTAAGAGTCTATCTATGAGTCTATCTATGAGTCTATCTATGAGTCTATCTATGAGTCTATCTATGAGTCTATCTATGAGTCTATCTATGAGTCTATCTATGAGTCTATCTATGAGTCTATCTATGAGTCTATCTATGAGTCTATCTATGAGTCTATCTATGAGTCTATCTATCTATCTATCTATCTATGTATCTATCTATGTATCTATCTATCTATCTATCCATCGATCTATCTATCTATCTATCTATCTTATCTATCTTATCTATCTTATCTATCTTATCTATCTTATCTATCTTATCTATCTTATCTATCTTATCTATCTTATCTATCTTATCTATTTTATCCATCTTATCCATCTTATCCATATTATCCATCTTATCGATCTGATCTATCTTATATATCTTATATATCTTATCTGATCTATCTTATCTATCTATCTTATCTATCTATCTTATCTATCTTATCTATCGTATCTATCTTATCTATCTTATCCATCTTATCCATCTTATCTATCTTATCTATCTTATCTATCTTATCTATCTTATCTATCTAATCTATCTAATCTATCTAATCTATCTAATCTATCTAATCTATCTAATCTATCTAATCTATCTAATCTATCTAATCTATCTAATCCATCTAATCCATCTAATCTATCTAATCTATCTAATCTATCTAATCTATCTAAGCTATCTAACCTATCCTATCTATCCTATCTATCCTATCTACCCTATCTATCCTATCTATCCTATCTATCCTATCTATCCTATCTACGTATCTATCCTATCTACGTATCTATCTTATCTACGTATCTATCCTACCTACCTACCTACCTGCCTACCTACCTACCTGCCTACCTATCTATCTATCTATCTATCTATCTATGCTATCTATGCTATCTATGCTATCTATGCTATCTATGCTATCTATGCTATCTATGCTATCTATGCTATCTATCCTATCTATCCTATCTATCCTATCTATCCTATCTATCCTATCTATCCTATCTACCTATCTATTATCCTATCTACCTACCTACCTACCTATCTACCTATCTACCTATCTACCTACCTACCTACCTACCTATCTACCTATCTACCTATCTACCTATCTACCTATCTACCTATCTACCTATCTATCTATCTATCTTATCCATCCATCTATCTATCTAATCTCGAGTCATCTAGTAAAATCAATACAGTAAACCAAAATGTATGACCTTACGATTTCGGTGACGCACCACCAATGTCCCAGCTACCCTTGGCACCTGATAGAACAGGCTTACCCCTGGCAGGGGATCATGTGTTGGAGTCAGCTCCTATTCCTATGGAGTCGCGATGTGGATGGGTGAATCTTGGCGAAAACACATGGGTAAATATAGCGTTTGGGGCTCAAACTAATGATACAAACTCGCTAGATAACCCAAAGGAGATTTCACGGTATTTGACAATTTGAAGGCCAAATGGTGGGCAAACATCCAGGATAGATGATCTGAGTGGTTTGAGATCAGACAGTGAAAGCCAGGAGAAACCGAGAAACCCAAAGCACGGATCGATCAAGCAGCTCAACTCAGCAGACCCTTTCTCATGTCAGTCGTTTCATCAAATCAACTGTCCTCCAATTATTCCAATTATGTTAAACCAATACAAATTGTAAACCCTACGCGATCCTCCCCAAAACCGCCTAGATCATCTAGATCCCATTCCAGCATCGAAAGTGACCATGGCTTCGGAGCCATAACACTCGCCCGGATGATGCCTCACCAAACTTCAATAGTTTTAACATACTCTAGGGTCCCTAGGGTAAACTAACATAGATGTGGAAAATCAACCAACTGTACACTATTTTCCTGAGGAAACCACGGGTGGCACATAGTTGCATATACATACATTTATCAGTGTTATGAAGGAATTATCCAGTCTTGGTGGTTGTTTCAACTCCACTCAAAATCTGTGGGGGGTATCATTCATCATCCCAGGTATCGATAGACAATGATGCCTACATAGACCCACATCACCTCAGTGAGTAGTCGAACAGTTCCTGATGTGGTGTTTACCCGATGCCAACGTGCCGTCCCTAAGTCACAACCATAAATGCTTGGGATAATCCATCCCCAACTGGTAGCTTTATTAAAGTTACCGCACTACCATTGATCATATTCTATCATATTCATATTTATGAACCACAAAAAATTGCCCCTGTCAGGGCGACAGAGCCTCACGGTCCTGAAAAAAGACATGCCGGCCTCACGCTACGATGGGCGCTTGACGTGGCCCCGACGCAGCTTTCACCGACGGGACCGTAGGTGTCCGGGATCTCTCTCGAGCTGCCAGGAGTGGCTTGCCCCGGCTACCTCTAAAATCCATTGGTTAAAAAAACAAAAACTGATTTTGACACTTTCTGAATCAGTGATATATCAAGCAGTTGAATCACTCATCTATTTTTTTGGGTCTCAAACGGAGATTAAGCGACACATATTCGAGATATCAATGAAGAACAATGGGGTAAACCGGTAAACCTCCATCACTTGGTGGCCGAGGCAGCCACGTCCCTTCCATATGTCCCATCATCATCCATCATCCAGATATACAAAACCATTTTGGCACAGGAAACGACATCAAGAACCTATATACTTGGACTATCTTGGACTTACTTCTCTCGGAACCAAAAGAGCCATCCAAAAAAACGCAATAAAAATTATCCCCTTTAAAATGATGCAAGTGAATACATCAAAATCAGCTGCCCACCAAATCCAGGGCACCAAGTTCCGCGCCTGCAGTGGTGGTAAAGTTCCGCTGAAAAACACTGGGCCTGCCGCGGTAGGCAGGAGGTTTGGGGAGTGACCGAGGTTTACAACTCAAAGAAAGCTCTTTTTTGGCTAAATTCCAATGTCCGGCTAAATAAAACATGATCCATTCTGTGGCTGCAACTTAATATTTAGTCGTAGTTAAAGTATCATAAGTATCTAAACATCATTTTTGGAGTATTTAAACACGTGTTTCTGCTTGGCCAAACATCTCAAACAAAAATCCAGCCCCAAGGTTCTGGCTTGGCAGGCTGCATGGCAGGCTGTGCTGGCTTTGTGGACTGAAGCATCTCCAAGTTCGCCTCGCCAGTCGCCAGGCTGCGTCTGAAGATGAGGGATTTCACCAAGCCGATTTCAGCAGTGGATTTAGATGGATTTATACAGATAGATTTAGGGGTACTCAATTTCAAGAAGGACAAATACTCAATGCTCCAGTTCTAGGATCACCCGCAACCAAAGACTTGACCACTCAAACATCAAACACATAACAGATCCAAACCCGCCACGGACCACCAGTTTTCTTCAACACCCTAGACACTGAAAATACCCAGTGGCAGTGCTATCTTTGAATATCGATAATGTTCCTTTGCTCACGATTTCCTCTGGGTTTGAGGGTCGTTTTCGTTGAATCTATCCGATGACCTAAGCGAACCGAGCACCTGACCAACATGAATGCGGGTGGAAACTGAATACAAGAATCATACCCTACCAGGTATCCAGAGAACGTCAAAACATGCTCAAATCATCTCACCTTCCCAACCGAGGCATCCGCCATGGATGAATTATCATGAATTACTGTTTGTTGTCGCAAGTGGCTTGCGGGAAGGTAGTGACACTTCGGTGTCCATGTTTTCAGATGTCTTCAAGGGTGAAGAACCATATCACATGTCCATTTCGAGACTGAATGAGACTTTCATGATTTCGAAGGAACGACATGTTTTCAGGTAGATGACCAATGCGCAGTTGCCAGAATTCTGAAACTGAATGCTGGACTTGGTCCGTTTTCTGACATAACATGTCCAAAAATAGACAAACAACCTACTAACATCTACTAACATCCACTAACTATATAATCGCGGTTTCAAATGAACATGGACTTCAAACGCCCTTTCTTGTGGGTTCCACCGTGCGGTTTTCAGTGGGGCAGCAGAGTCAACCATAGATTCCTACTATACTAGGATGATCTATCAAGTTGGTAAATTCTGAAGAACGATCAACAACTGGGGCCCACAATTCCGTTGGACAAGGACATATTGAAGACCTCCCTTTTACTGGCCACTTACTACTACCTTCTAGGATTGGAAACCTGTCTATCAAACATATAGTATGCATGTATGTATAGGATTGTATATGCATATATATATACAGTGAATGTACGAGCATGTGTTTTTCAATAAAGCAATATATACATATGACAAACCAATCAGGCTATGGCTGAATGATTGAATGATTGAACACACACACACAAATTGGTTCCATGGGCCCGTGATGGTCCATGGGCACCCAACGTTGGGTCCCCATGTACTCCGTCGCCTGCAGCTCTTGCATTTTCTGTGCCTGCATCTGTAGCTCCTTCAAGGGGCAAACCACAGCGGCATCAGGTTCGTTTCTATCCCTGGTTCACCTCATACCATACGACCCTCAAATACACCCAATAACAATAATTAGGTATTCTACACAGACAAGAGCAACATCTATTTTTGGTTTAAATTACCAATGTTTGAACTTTGAGGATCAAACATGATCAAAATGGGTATATACCCCCAGTCGGATGTTTCACAAGTGCCCAAAATCTTGGGGACCGAGGGTCTCCAATGTTGAGCCCTTCGCCATAAGTCAAAAACAACAAATATGAGCGGGACATGGAAATGGTGGGAAGTACAAAAAAAACCTACATCAATCTTGTTATCCATATTTTGACATTTTTTAAACACAGAAAAGGATAAACAATGATAACGCATAAGTCAGCGGTGAGGGGATTTTGAACCAGCACCTTCGCAAGAAGGTGGCAAGCCAGGAAACAAGGGCTGATGTTGTACCTCAATTAGTGTGACGGTCCTCATGTGTCACATTTGTTGTCTATAAGTTCCTACGCATGCAATGTCTCTGCGCAGGCAATATTTGCAAGGTCCGAAATAGTGGCGAGTTTATTCAGACTTGATTTTTATCTGCAGAAGAAACCAACTCTGAAATCTTTCCAATCTCGTCCACCCGTAATATCCCCTCATGATATCTAGTGATATCCTAAAATATTGTAATCCCGAAACCAGCAACATTTCAAAAGGAGAAACTGCATGGCACGCGGGGTTCCTTCCTTGACCACAGTCTTATACTTATCAAACACCAAGAGGTCTTGCCTTTTGGAAATCCATGCGCTTCCAAAAGGACATAAAAGGACCCACTCTTTAACCCTTTTTCTATTTCATTCTTCCTTCCTTTCTTTTCTTTCGTTTCTCTCTTTCTTTTCTTTCTCTCTTTCTTTCCTTTCCTCCTGACTGAATATTGAATGTCTTTCTTGCTTTCATAATTTCTGAAAGAGTTCTGAACAACAAACGACAGACGATCAATTGCTGAGACTTAGAGATCCTTGCCTTCATCATCCATGAGTTGAACAGGAAACATGTGCATACATTAGCCAATTAGATGAGCACGAGTCAGGCAGGACCCTTACTTCGACTCCAGACCCTTTCTCCATTCAGCACCTGTTCTTTTGACAAACTCGACATCAATTATTGGGTCCCCTTTTCGTTTGGTGAGGCCCAGCACACCATTCATCCAACATCCAACGTGAAACAACCAGGCTATAATAAAGCTCTGGACATCATTGCTGACCCAACACTATGGCTCGAGGCTAGTTCAGCTAATAAAACCTCAAAAAATTACGCCTTCTGGTTGAAAGGGACAAACTTGGGGTCGTCTAGTTTCGACATGATTCCCAGGCCTTTTCAGCTTGAAGCAATCGAGCTTCTACTTGCTCAAATTCGGCACGCAACACAAACCTGTCCATTGTTGGGTTGCTACAATGCATAGGCTGGTACGATGGGCTGCTTGCCGGAAGAAGGTACTGGACAAAACACGGAGTATAGCCGGTTGGAGTTGATTTGGACAATGGGAAGTAGCAGGAGCCCATGATTATGGGGTCATGTGAGCGGAAATCTGAATACATGATATGAATCAAATTCCAGGATCCAGAAACATACAGGATTCCCTGACTCGATTTATCATCATGCTTGCGTAGAGCTAGGTCCCTCCTAAGCATGTTCAACATGTTGGGCAAGTGCCTAGCAAATAAGTTAAAAAAACAGATCGCAACACTTCTGGAAGTGACTTGCCAGGCAATTCAATCTACAATCAAGACTGAGGTCACTCCTACTCCCGGTCAATGTGGCTCATCTGTCATGTGTGGTTCGTAACCCATTCAAACATCACACGACCGTTGGTGGGCATCATTTCAATTTCCAGCAACCATCCATCTGAAGGCGATGTTTTAACATTTTCAAAACGCAACCATAAACACCACTACTCAATGGCAGACGACGTTTCGTATACACTATATAGGGCTTGGGCCAAATCTTTTCTACCACAGTAAGCATCTGGACGATGAACCGAATAAATGACTTTTGGTGTTCCCGTCTCGCATTTCTCGGAGTGTTCACGCCGAAACATCATCGACATCTTGCAAACGTAGGTATGTTGACTGGCAAAGAATGCGCGCAACGGCATCTCTGTAGAAAAACAACCCCCAGAGCAAGATTGGATAGGGCAAACATGTTCTACATTAGCCAAGGAATCTCTGTCCCATTTGCGCCCTCATCACACACAAAACACATGCACACACATGGCCCACCCGTCTTTCTCACTAAGGTCCCTGCATGCCCGGCATCTTTTCGAAAAAGGACTGGACTCTATAAAAATAGAAAGTCTTATCTTCCGATTCATACTTCCTCCCTGGTTAAAAAAAATATGGTTCCGCTGGGGATCATCATTCCAACTATGAACCTGTGTGTATATAATGCATGTACACACATATATATATATATAATATTATATATTATATAATATATACAAGTACATGGAGAGACAGAGATGGAAGTGGACAGTGCTTGAACCCACTAACCAGTCAAGCGATCCGTAACTCTTGTACCTGATTTGATCTGACCTGTGGTCACTTTGGTCCATTGGTTTCTTTCTTCGCTCCGACAAGAAACAAACACATGCCGATTTCCTGCAACAAAGCAGCTGCACTGAATGCATATAAGTACCCCACGGATGGTTTTCCTCGAGGCAAAACCCTATGCACAACATTGGTTTCCAAATCCACAAGCTATATATATATATAACTATATATATAGATATCAACATATAGGGTTTTCTTGTGACATATCTCTTGCATGATTTTCGGCAATCCTGGTTAAATGCCACATGTTCTTGGACCACTAGCTGAGCCAAACCACAGCAAGCGCAAGCCTTGTCCAATACATGGTGCCGGGTGAAACAAGTCAACTTCCCCGGGCTTTCCAGGTGATAGCTTGGAACATGTTGGACGTTTGAGGAAAGACTCTATAGTTTCATCCAACCATGCAAAAAGGATTCAGTCAACTGTCTAATTATTAACATCCACCACCAAAAACAAATCATACCATATAGCATTGCCACCAACCAAGAAGGGGCAGATACGTCATACGGCCTCCTAGAACCATCAAAGAGGGGTCACGGGTCAAGTCAGCATTACACAAGCGGATTCCTTGTTAATAATTAGCTTCTGTAGATACCTCGCTAACAAAAATAAAGGATATGAAGCACGCCACTCAATATGATATAATATGGCGATAGGTCAAAACCGTCTATTAACATATTTTTTGGGATAACCTTCATTAAGCAGATGCTTTAGGGTACCTGGAGTTCCAGGGTTTTGACGAACATATACGAACATATTTGAAAATAACCATATGATTCTGATATATTCTGATATGTATATATATATATCCATAAGGAGGACAACCCACCAACCGTCCCACCATCAAATTGCCTCCCAGCGGCATTTTTTGAGACCCACATTCGGCATTTTCGTTCCGCACCAGGGTGCAAAATGGGGATCCTCATCCCAGGTAAGGAACCATCAAGAGATGAAACGAACGATGGCCTGTTGGCTTAGTTGAACCCACCACGATGTTTTCTTTTAAAAGTCACTCATTTGAGAAACATCCCAACTGTATCTCCATCGTATCTTTACACTTTTTCCTCAAAGTCTTTAAACTCAAACTTTCACATTGGCTATGGGACTGCAAGGACCTCGAAAGTGTTCAGATTGCCCTGGCAGACCAGTAGCTGAAAATGGGGTCTGAGAGATGGTCTGAGGAACAAAGATGTGGGGATGGGTCAAAGCCTGTAATATCATTACCATATTTGGGGAAATAACCATTCATTCACCAGTTATTTTAGGGTACCATCCGGGTAGCAGGCTCTTGACCCATAACCATGTGAGAGTTGATCATCTTGAAACTCCGCAGCTAACCGGGCCAAGATGGGTCACTTAGTCCGGACGAATGGGATGGGCAATGGGTCACTAAGAACTACGAACAATTTTGAAGGGAAGTCCATGTTGGGCGCAACAATTATTTTTGAGTCAGAGACGTCAGAGACCAGAGCAAAAAAACATGGCGCCTGCACGTCTTGCCACCCTTGCGCAAGTAGATTCCCTGCACCACTTGTTGCACGCTTTTGCATGCCTGGCGCCACGCTAATGTTTTGAAGTGTTCTGCTGGAGGTAGACCATGAGACGATGTCAATGGAATGGATTTGGGGGTGACAATGAGGAGAACCACCATGAAAAAGTAACTGTATCAACTGGTTACAATGAAACGGAGTCTTGACAAACCCGTCACAGAACTAAATCAACATAGAGATGCATGGCCGATCCCACTCTGATCCTTCGGTCTCCATGAAACAATCCAATGTCATTTGCGCATTAAAAAAATGCAAAACAATGATCTACAACTCAGTTTCTTCCCAACCCTATTGTGCACGGTCTCCCGAGAAAAGAAGTGAGGTCGGGGGTCTTCCGTGCCCCTTGCGCCTGCGTGCCCGCAGGGCAGCTGAATTTCCGCTCAATGTGGCCATTCCAACTCAATTGCTCCTGTGTTGACCGTGGGTGCGTCCACACACACACATATATGTATATATATAACAACTGTCTATATGTATATATATATATATAACAAGTGTCTATATATATATATGTATATATATGTATATATATATATGTATATATATATATGTATATATATATGTATATATATGTATATATATATATATGTATATATATATATGTATATATATATGTATATATATAACAAGTGTCTATATATATAACAAGTGTCTATATATATATATGTATGTATATATATAACAATTGTCTATATATGTATATATACATATAACAAGTGTCTATATATATATATGTATATATATATATATATTTAATTACAAATGTATGTCACTTCCGTATCACATATATAGACACCCACGTGCATGCTGAGGTGAAAAACCAAACTGAAAGATAGTTAAACTGAAAGAGTTCGAAGACTTTGGACATTGCGGTCCACCTGGCCGACAAGGACACGACCTATCTGCCATTAAAAGCCGGCACATGCAGCGGCGCATACAACAAAGATCACTGCTAATCTTCTGTAGCCTGCCAAGAAAGGAACTAATATGAGTCTTTGGTAGCAGAATATGCATTCCTGCATAGCAACAAATCGACTGATAACTACTTTCAAACCATTCACCACGGTTTACCCAAAAAAATGAGACCCAAATCTGTGGGATCCCACCGTGAAATTTCACGCACGTTTGTTCCCCACCTGTCAGGTGAAGTCTATAGATTTTGCGTCAGCCCTATGGCAACTGTGTGGCCTGTGTCAACCGAAACCTTGCCTCTATAGTGCCAGGACCTCAGAACTTATGCCAAGCATTTTTCCACAATACATGTCAGAGTTTATGTCAAAAAGTATGGCAGAGAACTATAGGTGTCAGATGTTTTTGTCAGAAGATATGTCAGAAACAAATGTCACCACCAGAAAATATGTCAGAGTATATACCAGTCAGATCATATGTATATATATATAATAATATATATATATATATATATTTATACGTATCCAGTATATATATATTGCATATATACACAAGGTATGTCATAATGAATGTCAGAAGATAGAAGAGCGTCAGGATGTAATAGCATGTTTGTCAGAATGTTCGTGTCAGGGTCAGGATCGCACGATGTATTTTTTTCCATATTTTTTCTCGAGAGGACATAGGATTATTTGGATTGGACTTTGAGACTCAACTTCACCCCAATGGGTCGAACATTTTTGAGACATATCATTCCCATTCGGGTATTGCACTGGAAATGGATCAAAATTGAGGTACCAAAGGACTGATCTACATCTTGTATTGACCCATTCATGTTGGGTCCAAGAATTTTCACCTGGGGACATCAAGGGCCTCCCACTGACCCAAGGCGCAAAACTTTTTGTTGGTTCCAAAGCGCCTCTTCCCCAAACCGCGGTCAATTGTTAAAGCAGCGGAGCCTGACCTCGTATGCTACAATGGCTCCCCCATTCAATCTAAAACCATGAAATTGATAGTTTTTCCGCATTAGTAACTTCAAATCACCATTCTAGATTCATGAATCGATGTAACAGTTATATCGTTACTAAATCGGGAGAACATGGTGCTTGTCTCCACCTCCCACACGATGGAAGTTGCTCAATGCGCAACTTTGTCACAGTGATTCCCCCCAGACGCCACGACGCAGCTGGTATCTGGGCCACTTCTTCTTCTTCTTCTTCTCACCAATTTTCATGGTGAATGGCTGTGAATTGAGACTGGCAGTCATAAAAGAACCTGGTTAATATCATGGAAACCACCATCAAGAGGATGGACAACCATGGAGTCTTGAGAGTCTTGGGGTATTGCAGCAAGCATCCCATGATTTTTTGATCTCTGTCTCATCTGCAAGGTCTTCCAGAACCCAGCCGCCCCTTCTGTGGCCATCCGTTAAAAAAACTCGGCTCATCAATGGGCTCCGCCTGCCGAACATGCCAGGTCAACACAGCCCATGCTGGTCCAGCAATGATGTTGGAATTGTCTGGATATTAAATCGGAAAACTGAAATGTGATTTGGTGGCTGTGATTTTTTTTGAACTGCTATGGGAGGGCGTTGGGGTTTCTCTCTCCTTTGTCGCAAACTGTTTAGTCTTGTGTGCAACAGATGACAGTGCATATGCCTTCTTGCAGGACGCCAAGAAACCGTAACATGTCGTAATCCCACAAAGAACTGTTCTTTCCGAAAGGTCTGAAGATAGTGTATAATTATAAAATGGTATATATATATATATTGATACTAATCACCGAAGGAAGTTTAGAAGTCAAACTTCCGAAAATATGGACAGATGGAAAAGCAGAGGTGGGAAGAGTCAGAGAAGAGAAGAGCAGAAGAGAAGAGAGAAGATCAGAGAAGAGAAAGAGTCCGAAGAAAGAAGATGCAGGTGCCCGAAAGGAAAGTCGCGAAACACTGTGTTTTTCCAAATTTTTTCCAATGATTTGAGGCTCCGGTGGGTCGAAAGTAGGCTCGCTAAAGCGACGGGGGCGGAGCCATCTGGCCAGATGAGAGATGAAAAGTTGCACGCCGTTGTGGCGCGAAGCACATTTGGAAGTCAAAATGTACAAAGCACATCAAAACACCTCATGTTCAGATCACTTTTGGAAGTTGAGATGTCCACATTTCGAAATCAAAAGTGCAAAAAACTGAGGGGTACGGAGCACTTCAGATGTCGTTTCGCGTGGCAAGTGCAAGGGATTGTGCACCTTGTCAAAGGTGAGCAAATCGTGAGGGTTTTGTAGCAG